CCCGAGCCTCAATGGTCGAGAGCCTTCCCGTGCATATTAATGAGCGATCGGACGCTGCGCGCCGAGATCGGACGCACCGCGACCGTGTCCACTCGCCTACTCGCCCGCGTGCCCAACACCGTGACCTGATGCACCACCGCGTGACCTGACTCAGCACCCCTCTATGTCTGATCGGATCCGGTAAGGATCTAGAGATGGTTTTTGTTTGATCGAACGCATTCGATCAAGCGTGACTGGATGCACGCCGCGTCAGATCCTCCTCAGCTTCGCTCTGCTGCTTGCATCAGCGTACGTCATAAGTGACCGGATGCTATGCCAGCAAGTATGGTCAACTTCACCTTCAGAGTCCGATCAACAAGGCCGAGACCGCGCCACTTCACCAACACTGACTAGACGCGCAAGTCCAACGTCTGGTCCTGCTTTCGGTCAGTTCCAGTGAGGTTCCCGACTTCACCAACTTCTCCACCCTTGCTCAAATCTGCCAACCACCAAGTGTATCACCTTGTGCACGTGTGTTAGCATATTCTCACAAACATTTTCAAAGGTGTTAGCACTCACTAGAATCTAAATGCATATGCAATGAGTTAGAACATCTAGTGACACTTTGATAACCGTATTCCGATACGAGTTTCACCCCTCTTAATAGTACGGATATCGATCCTAAATGTGATCAAACTCACTGTCTCGATCACCAAACCAAAAAGCTCATATCAAGTTTCACCTTTGCCTTGAGCTTTTTGTTTTCTCTTCTTTTTCAAGTCGAGCACTTGATCACCATGGCCATCACCATCATCAACATGATCTTCATTTGCTCCACCACTTGGAATAGTGCTACCTATCTTATGATCACCAAAGCAAATAGGTTAACACCTAGGGGTTCATCAATTCACCAAAATCAAACTAGAGCTTTCAAAGCTGCAAATCAATTACTTGGTTTAAGAAACTATATCAATAAGTCTCCCTCACCTCTAGAACCATGGATCCTGTCCGTCCCCACCTCTAAAATAATTTGGTTTATCTTTATATGTTGCGATTAGCTTCTCCATTTTATCCTATCCAAAAGTTCAACTGAATGCTAAAGAAGTGATACATATTTTTTTTTAAATATCTTTATTCCAATCTCTGCACAATTATAATCTTAGCCATTTGTTATTTCGGTTCTCTAGGTGCTTATTAAACAAAATGAGAACCTCCTCACAATCGCAATCGTGCTAGCCGCTAGGACGTGCGAAGGGTGGTGCTTTGACTCATGAAGCTGGATGAGAAATCTAAAATGAGAATACATAATAGATATGGTGGACCCAGGAGGGGTGAGTCAGAGAGAGCAACCATGACCCAGTGCAAAAAAAGGCCAGTTGTGCTCATGGATGGATCTTGTAGTGGGGGGGGGCTCAAGCCCCCCTACCGCCGCTGATCCCATGGAGCCCCCCTATAGCCTCTCCAAGAATTTTTGTCATGGCTGCTTTGAGGACGATAGGCTGCAGGTTGAAGATGAACTTTTAGCCCCCCTGAACTTTCATCCTTGATCTATCCCTGGCCGTGCTTGATGCACATCAATGAACTGGTCTATTACCAACTGTGATATGTTGTAGTAAACTTACTAGTCTTTTTATACGTAAAAAGTGGCAAAACCTACCATCTTTTATGTTAAAAATCATCAATTAAAGAACTCATGGCAGAACATTAGCATTAATATTAGCGAGGCGGTGAATGTGTATCTAGCCTTATGTGGTTTTTGATGGATTGAATGACAAATAATTAAAATACTAACTTATCTGTTGAAGTGTTGAGAAGGTGATTAGTTATGTAATCTTTTTTGCGATAGTTTTGCGAATGATGGCATGCAAATGGATAAAGGCTCAACTAAAGGTGCAAAGAAGTGTGATATGTCCCATATGATGTGCAGTATGAAGAAGTGATGAGGAAATATACATGTGGACAAAGAGACTTGGTTAATTGCATGCGTTGATACTCAATAAGTATGACGTTTCTACCCTATATTCTCTCGATTATTGTACTCCTCCATTCCAAATTAGGTTATTTGGTCTTTTATAGATACATAATATTTACTATGTATCTACTATCTAGACATAGAGTATATCTAGTTATGTACCTAGAAAATAAAAAAAATGACCTATAATTTGGGATGGATGGAGTTAGAAATACGTGCTACTGGCCATAGTTATACATGAAATGCAGTATATTTTGCAAAACGGCTTGTATTTTGTGTCATGTTTGATTTTTATAGATTTTTGGACCAAAATAAGGTAGTGCTTTGTGTTCTCTCTTTGACACAACAACATCAACATTAATTTTAAAAAATCCACCGGTGGCCCTGTCTAAAGCTTCCAGAGCAACTTTCAGGATGAAACTATGAACTCTGGCAAATAGTATATTGTGATATTGTCACAAAGAAGTGACTCTATGCTGATTATATGAATGATCTCTCTGAAATAAATTAGAAAGTTGGGATCTGAAAAAAGTAACTTCTCCTTATTTACTTCCCCCGCAAAATCACTTAAATTGTTGAGTTTATCGTAGAAAATCATTTTTCCACAAAATCTCTCCTCTTAGATAATCAGTACATAGAGAATGAGAAACAGGAAGAGTTTTACCAAACAGGCACTTATTCTAGATGTAAAGTTATGAGAATGCCATATTGTTTGACATATATTACGAGCATTTTCATGGAAACGATTGAGTGTATATTATTTGAGGAATTGGTTAGTTCTTTATCTTCTCATTTGGCCACTCTTTACTATTTTGTTTGGTTTAGAATGGGATAGGATTCATGATCATTGTTTTCCTCGTATTCTAATAATTAGTACAAACATGAGGAAAAGAGTAAATAAACCAAAATTCTATGGGGTAGACTTATGATCATCCCTTCATCTAGAATAAAATGATTCCTCAAATCAAAGCATATAAACATGCCGAATGGGCCGTCCAACACGAAGAACATCAAGTCCTTTTGGATCAGCTATTGTAGCTGGGCTATTACCTAATGATCTGTTTTGTTTAAGCACTTGCTAAAGTGGCCTGAGATGGGCCGCATCAAATGGGCTTTGATTCAGGGGTGGTTTAGTTGGTGAAATTTTTTAGGAAATGGTACTATAATATTTTCGTTGTTATTTGACAATTAGTGTCCAATCATAGTCTAATTAGGCTTAAAAGATTCGTCTCGTGAATTTCGTCTAAACTGTGTAATTAGTTTTATTTTTTATTTATATTTAATGCTTTATACATGCGTCCAAAGATTCGATGTGACGAAAAATATTGAAATTTTTTGGAAACTAAACAGTCTCAGCCTATAGATCGTGGTGAAATCACCCCACCAAAGTTTATGCGCAGACATACGACCTGTCAGATTTGCATGAAAACACTCAAGCTCCGCTTTGATATACTAGTACGACACATCCAAGTTTTTTTTTGAAAAAATAACATCCAAGTATCCAACATTTGGAAATTACCCCTTGAGACCTCGACAGGAAACCTGCCCAAAACGGAACGCAACCTTGGCTGTGACGGCTCCATTCTCCTCTATTTTAAGTCTGTCTATCGTGCAACTCAAACCTAAAATGGATCTTTAATATAATATCTATAGTCTTTAACAGAGTACCTATATAAAAGACCTATTTTAGGTACCAGAAGAGACATAGGCCCCCGTTCGGCTTGCTGAATCTTGGCTGAAACTGGCTGAAAAACATTGCTCTGGCTGAATTGTTGAGAGAAAAATACTGTTCCGGCTAAAAAAACAAGCCGAACAAGCTAAATATGGGGTAAGACGAACATGGCCATAAACTAAATCTGAGTATTCTCTCTCCTAGAGACCCATTTATAAAAAGAATTGTCTTTTAAGTCTGGTTGTTAGAGAAGACAAAAGTAAATACTAAACCTTTTATCTGTAACGTTATCAGACAATGAATGAGTTTTGCCCTTATCATATAGCCTCTGAGCCAGGGACCACGCCGGCCGCCGAGCGAGCTAATCCATTGATTCTATAAAGAAATTTTCATATGCAATATTGTGAAAATACAGTGAGAAGCAATAAATCCACCATACCATAGGTTCTCAGGCCGTTCGGTTGGCTGGTTCGTTTCGTTGCTGGTTCGTAAAAAATACTACTGACTAATTTGTGTGAAAGAAAAATACTATTTCAGCTAAAAATTTACGATCATTTACGATAAGTCAGGACCAAACGAACAGCCTGCCTATCATTTCACAAGGGAAACAACAATGCCCTCTACCAGACAACAGCTGATCCAGAGGCGTCGTCGGGTCCCATCTCGTCACTCCGCAGGCCTGCCGCCTGCGGCCTGCACACTGGTGGGCAACGCAACCAAGGCCTCGTTTAGTTAATCTAAAATCTAAACTTTAACGCTACGTAAAAAAAAAATTCTCCTCACATCAAATTTGCATTATATGTATGGAGTATTAAATGTTAACGAAATCAAAAACTAATTACACAGTTTGGTTATACTTTACGAGACGAACATTTTAAGTCTAGTTAGTCAATAATTAAACAATTATTACCAAATGCAAACGAAATACTACAGTACACTGTAATGCCGTGCAGTGATTTTATCACTGCCGATTCCGAGCAACTAAACGAGGCCCAAAAAAGAAGCGACCAATGGTGTTGGTCTGCTGCCTCTGCCCTGCGGGACCACCTTCGTGTCGAAGGCTCGCCCTAGACCGTGGGCCCCACGGCCAGGCTAGTGGCGACGTCACCCAAAGTACGGACGAATCCCATCCTTTTTCCATCCAGAGCACGCCGCAATCGCTTCCCCCGCCTGGTTGCCTAGCTATAGCTAGTGCTGTTGCTTTGGCCACCAAGTAGGCAAGTGCCCGCCGCGTCTCATTGATTACCAGCGCATCCTAGGCGTGCCCCTACTTGCATACTCCGAGCACAAGGGGGCCGGCGGGGGCGGAGAGGGAAGCGAAGTGGTTCGATCGATCGAGCGACGATTCCGCGGGTCTCCCGCTGAAAAGGAGGAACCATGGGAGTGGGACTGAAGAGGCAGGAGATGTGGCGGGCGGCGGCGGCTCCGACGGCGAGGTAAGGCGAAGGGTCCCCGCCGTTGTTTAGCGTTGCGTGTCCATGGTTCACGATCTCTTTTTCGCTGCTGCTGCTGCTTTGGTTGCCGATCGGCCTGGCGCTGGATTCCCCTTGCGTTTCGATTTGGTGTCGGCTGCTCTGGGTTTTTTAGTTTGCGGTACGTCCGAGGGTGGTCTGACCTCATCAAAAGATCGGCGCTGCAGCGCTGCTTGATTGAGTGCTTGTTGTGCGCGTTGTGCCGTTCTGTTTTCGCTCTGGGGTTTAGGGTACTTGTGCCGGTCGTGGTATTCGGTATTCCTCTCCGATGATGGAAGGAACTTGAACTTAAGCCTAATCTAGTCTGAGCTATGTTTGCTGTGGTGCGTATCTGCAGAACTGTGCTTACAGTTTGAGTACAGAATTCAATGGGGGGAAACATAGGTTTCTCTGAAGCAGTTTTTATTGAGAAAGGGGTCATCTTTGGACTGGTGATTCGGTGATTCATATTCTTAAGTGTTCTGACAGTGAATGTGGTGTCCATGCTTTTTTTTAATCCATTGTCTAATTTCTAAAAAATCAAGATGGGGGAAACAATACCTTGTTAAAAAATACTGATTGAGTGTTCTTCTAGCAATATCTGAAACGAAGTTGGAGCAATGTACTCTATTAAATTTATACCAGATTATTAGTAACCCCCCTCTCCCCTGAATTTTGATGCATTGTTAACCTGGCACTGGCAGTAGCATCTGTGTCACTTACAGATTATATTCTGTGAAAAAAATATTTTTGCTTATAATTCGATTGCATCAGTGTCACTGGAGGTTACATTCTGTGAGATATTTCTGCTTAGTTAAACATGTAAAGGTTCATACTGAACTCAAAATTAAGAACTCTGCTTCTCTTTTGCAATCTTACTGATCCCTGATGGTTACACACGAAAACAGAGCAGGTGGTAAATTCTGCTTCACCTAGGCCTAGGCCATATGCATTTTACATTGTAAGAATCCTTCACAAGTTTCTTGAAGCAACAAGCAAAGCAAACGTGGCAGGGTCCAGTTGAATATGATAATACATTCCTGCTGATAAGTTTTTATTTATGTAACTAATCATGTGACATTGCCACCGTTAAGTTTGCACTGATGTTCAGATATGTGTATTGTCGCGCAGCGCAGCAGGAAGGCAGCAAGCCCTCGCCAGCAACAGTGCCACTGCCACTGCCAAGCCGTTGGCTGAAAGGTCTCGGCCAGCTCAGCGAGGGATGGGTGGCCCAGACAACGCGTGCCACAACTTCCGCGGTGTCCGGCAGCGCCGGTGGGGCAAGTGGGTGGCCGAGATCCGCGAGCCCAACCGCGGCAAGCGCCACTGGCTGGGCACCTTCAACAACCCCGTCGACGCGGCTGTCGCCTACGACCGGGCGGCCGTGTCCATCCACGGCGCCCACCACGCGCACCTCAACTTCCCCGCGGACCACGCCGCCGCGGCGCCGGCCCAATGCCATCCATCGTCCTGCTCTGCCGACGTATTCCAGGAGCATGAGGTAAAGCCGATGGTTGCTGCTGCGCTGGGCGGCGGCGGCGGCGGCGCAGAGACCGTCAGCCAGCAGCAGCAGCAGGGCACTCCTTGGATTTCACCTGATGGTCCGTTCGACATCGACCCTCATGACATTGCCATGTACATCGATTTCGATGCGGTATCCGACATGGTGCCCTTTTATCCTGGCATCAGGAGAGAGGATTGCCAGCGTGAGGGGTTCGACGGCGACGCCGTTCACTCGACGCTGTGGGCGCTGGGTGACTGAAATGCTTTCTGAGGCAGGGTGAGATGGGAACTTTGCGGACTTCAGTAGCATCTGATGGTTCTGGCATGATCAAGAATGGAATTTAGCTTTGCTGGTAGTCTCTTTAGAGTTCAGATTGTTTAGCCAAGCTTAACATACTGCCAGTAATTAGTACCTTTGTCTTCACTAGTATAATGCCCATGCTAATGCTACAGTAGAACATAGTCAAACAAATCAAGAAACTAGTATAATGCCCTGTTTGCGTGTCCTTAAACCCGGCTTTGATTCGTTTTTTTTTTCATCCGAAACAGTGTTTTTCTCTCACAAATTCCTCCAGAATTCCTCCAAACCATCCAAATTCCTTCCGAACCATACCATCCGAACGGAGCCTAAAAGGCTAAATCCACCATTGCCCTCAAACTCAAAATACGACGACTGAAAAGAGTCAACAGACTTGTTTGCTGCAATTACACATTATATCAAGTACTTGCTTCATTTAAACGTTGTACGCTGCGACGATATCAACAACCAAAGAGAATCAACTAATCTTTTATCGACTATCGTAATCTAATAACAATGAAGTGAATAATTTTTTTCTTCCTCTCGCGCCAGGAAAGGAGAGTGCGAGGCAACCGCACGCACATCGTCCCACGCGCCCGCTCCTCTCGCTGGCTCAAGCTGGACCACCGGGGGACTGCACTCCTCTTGCTGGACCACCCCGTGCCGGTCTCTGAGCCAGGGACCGCGCCGGCCGCCAGAGCGAGCTAATTCATTGATTCTATAAAGAAATTTTCATATGCAATATTGTGAAAATACAGTGAGAAGCAATGAATCCACCGTACCATAGGTTCTATCATTTCACAAGGAAACAACAATGCCCTTTAGCCAAGAAGTAACCTCACAAAGTATTAAAATCAGAAATTCAACTTCCCTAGCAACATAGAGTATGAACAATTGGAAGTAGATATCATCAAAGCTGACCTTAGTTCATAATCCACAAAATATTGCAAGCCTTGCCAGAAGGAACGGGACCTGATAATGACTATATGATAATGGCTATATCAGGAGGGGATATACATTTGCTTTTTTGACTCGTTCCTTGCCAACTACAAAACCAAATCAACAAGTTTATGATCCTCCTTCCTGCAACAGAGCACAGTTGTTTATTTCAGACGCAGCAAACTCTGTTTAGAGAAAAATTTGCAAACTGGTGGTCAAATTACTAAAGATTGAAAATAGAGGTTAGTGCTACAATACTCAGTTTAAATGGTCATGGTTGCTTTACTACTATTCAACTAGAGGCACAATGAGGCAATTATGCATGCATGAGTATATAAGCAGTCAACTTTTTTTAAAAAAATGGTAAACAACCATTCTGATTCATGGTTCAAGTTAATCCAAGGAAGGATGCCATTTAGCTCCAACCAACTGTAGCTTCACTGGCAATATTGTAATGCACTAAAAATAGAACCAAATAGGAATGATTAGCACTGGTTTTAGTCTCAGTACAAACACAAGATGCATTCACATTGTTAGCACGGTCATCATATATTGCACAAATCTACCATAATATAGGTGTGATGTTATCTACCAATTAATCCACAAACATGTGCTAGAATATATATTTTCCAATGCTACATTTTTCCCAACATATTAACATATGCAATAAAAAAGAATGGTAATGTCATATGCATAAGTGTACATATACACAGAAAGGGAGTAGTGTGGACTACATGATAACAGAAGTTATATTTATATAGCTCACGAGTCACGACCTAGAGTCCAAAAATACAGGCTTGGTTTCCACGTACTGGTACAAGAACCGGATATGCTCTAATCCCTTGTGTTATACCACCAGCTTCAAATGCCAACACCTGTAAGGAACTTGGGTTAGATCAATAATTGCGAGAACAAGAATTTTATTCAAAAGACATAAAAAAAACTTTCATATATCTTTAGAATCAGATGGTATAATCTTCGATAAATGCAGGGGCCAACAGAAATAACCACATTACTTACCTGATATTCTGTAACTCTCAGATTGATAAATGTTAGATTAATTATCTGAAACTCATAGTCATGACTGAACCATGTGTCATGATGGTTATCTAATACTCATAGCCATAGCATTAGTTACTGCACGGTTCATGACTGAAACTTATAGGCATGGCTGAACCATGTGTCGATGATGAGCCGGGCTTGTTAATTAGAGGATCATTGACCACATCCTCCTCCAAAGCCTTCCGGCGCAATTGCTAGGCCATGTTGGTGGTTCAGAACAAACATCACTACAAGGTTGAGAACAAATGTCACTACAGCTTTACCAACCTTGCATGCTGTCTCCATCCAAGGAAGTGCATTGGCTAAATCCTTAAACATCATATTCACATTACGCACTACCCATGGTGAATAAAAAAATATGTTTATGGACCTAGGAAAACATAATTCGAAATTTTTAAAGATTGAAAGCAAAATAGTTTTTAGCTTCTACAATTATTTACTTGTAATGAAAAGAAGATGACAAAGTATAAAATCACTGCGTACCATGTATTTGTAACTCGCGCTAGGTCTTGCTCCATGTTTCTTTTGCATGCATCTAGAAGAGTGGTTCTTGCCTTCTCACTTAGGTGCTCTGTTTATGGCTGCTACCATTTCAGACCACTGGGGACTTCTCAACACGCTGAATGGAATTCCAATAGCGCACACACACACACGCTCAATCAGTCGGTGCAAAATCCTGAAGATAAAAAAATTTAAAATATTCAAGCAAGAATATCTAAAGATACTGAAGTCTATATGCCACTGATCCACCTATTTTGCCATAGCAATTGCGTGGACCTCTGGAGAAGCTTTTGCACATTTGCAGTTTCTCGCAATTATACAGGTGCATATGATGCGTGTGAATGGTACTTTTAACGAATAATCCACAAAACAACATTCAGGTATATACATACTAAAACTGAAATATATGCATACTAAAACAACCAAATTACATTGTAGAAAAAAGGCAATATAATTGTTTCAGGTAAGAAAAAACATTATACATGTCAATTTTCTAGGAATATTATTGCATTGCTAGATTAGTTCATTAGAACTTAGAGATTGTATTAACCAACGATAGAGAATGTTGGTCATCTATAATTAAACAAATCTTCACAGCCACACCATTCTACACGCCTCGAGCTGATGTAGCTCCTGGATCTTCACCATAGGGATGCTACTTGAAAAAGGAGGAAAACTAAAATTCTAAACCACAAGGAGAATCCAATGTAAATCATCCTGAGTCGAGATCTTAAATGAATACATGATAAATGAGCACATGAGCTGGACGAGCTAATACAGAAGCTTGATTGATAGAGATAAAAAGCAAGAATCCGCTATAGGAAATATTCGTAAGTGGACATTTTAAGGAACGACTCACGGTGAATCCTTTTTGGGGTGGTCAGGAAACAAGCAGGCTTTGGGAATGCAAGACGAATCAACAGAGAGGGTGAGCAATATTTAGAGCCAAGTCAAGACAAGCATTTAATTTGCAAAGACTGGAATTTTGGGCAAAAACAAGCCGACGTTCCTCTCCAGCGTGCACGAGAACTCGCCGAAAGGGGAGGAATCGAGTCCAGTTCTTGAGCTCATCCTCGCATGCTCAAGGTGCCGAGGAGAAGTCAATGCTCGATTGAGGACTCCAGCACAAACGAAATTGGGACTTGGCTGGCTTTTACTTACCTACGCCGGTGTCGGGACTGTGGTGCCCCTCCCTCCTCGAGCCGCAACTCCGCACGGGACCTTCTTGACCATGGCACCGGGCTTCTCGAATGGTGAGATTTTTCTAGGGGCGGCCGGAGAGGAGGAAGAGCAGCAAGCAAGCTGGATCGGCAAGTGCATCCATCCAGCCAAAGTAATGGCTGAGCCCATGCATGGCGGCGGCGCCTGGCTGGCGCTGCTTGGCCGACGGCCCCCAGCCTGGGCTTGGGCTCGCCCATGGATTGTTTGTCACGCCGGCGACCGGGCCTGCCGCCGCCGGATTCGGAGGCCTGCTCCCGCTGTTCGAAACCCTAACCCCTGAAGGCCACGGCAGCATGGATGGAGGATCTTGTTGAAGCGTTCGTGGGTGGCGGCGAGGACTTCTCTGCCTCTCTGCTGGCTGGTTGGCGGCCTTGGTTGTCCAGCGGTGCTGGGCATGCGCGCCTAGTGGGAGAGGAGAGTGAGGAGTCGCGCGCGCGTGGGGGGTGGAGGAGCCGCGTCTGTGGAAGAGGGAGGCGTCGGGGGAGAGGGGGAGTCACGCGTGTGGCAGACGGGGTGTTTTTTTTGTGTGTACGTAGCAGAATTCACGATTGTGGTGGACAGTTTCTGGATGGTTTAAAAGTTCCCAAGCGGTGCATTATTAGTGATAGACATAATCTTTGTTCGGTTAGCTGGAAGCTGGACTGTAGTGATCTGTAGGTGGAATGCTGTACAGGATTAGAGATGCATAGTAACCTTTTGTTCCGGGTTATTATGGAATTTACTAACGCACCTCATGTCGTGAAATGCAGATTGGGTAATTGGTAATACCTAGCAACCTTTTTTATGGCATCAGCGTAGGCTGAAATTTTTTACATTTACTCTGAACCGTGTTTCAAATCTATACTCAAAGAACACGGTACACAATGCTCCAATCCTACCCTCAATGGGTTTATGGGTGCCCCAATCCAATTTTAGATTTACTATTCCTGAAGACCTGAACTCACGACGCACCCATATTTATCGCAAAACCCATCTTTCTCGCAAAATTTATAAGGCTACTGCTTTCCAGCCACAGAAATTCTACCGAACAAGCAGAGCTCGATAAAATCTCGAGGCTATGAAGTTTTAAAACTTTTTTGACATGTCGTTCATTCCTCTCCCCTTCTCTGTCTCTCGCTCCATCTCCACTCCACCGTGCAAACCACCATGGAAGACACAGCCTGACGACGAGAGGGGTGCAGGGCAATACTCTGCGCCGGCAGAGACGCAGGGACGATGGACGACGGCATCAACTGCTACGTGGTCCCGCAGACCACGGGCACCGGGCGGAACATCTTCCAGGGAGGCAGCCCACTGCAGGAGTCGCTGCCGCTGCTCGTCCATGCTGTCACGCAGTCCGGCGTTCAAGGAGATGGTGTTCCCGGCGAGGGGCGACCCGGTGCTGCACACCGTCGCGACGTTCGGGCTCATGTACGTCATCTTCCTCATCGGCGTGCGGATGGACCCGATGCTCGTCGTCCGCTCCGGCAAGAAGGGCGTGATCATCGGCCTTTCCGGTTTCATCCTCCCGCTGGCCATGACCACCGCGGGCTTATCCGGCGCCGCCATGGTCTCGGAGCCCGACGTAACGAGGCGTTCTACGTTCCTGTTCGCGCTGGCCACGTCGCTCTCGGTCACGTCCTTCGCGGTGCTGTCGCCGATCCTGTCGGAGCTCAGCCTCCTCAACTCCGACCTCGGCCGCACCGCCATGTCGGCCTCCATGACCACCGACGGCATCGCGTGACTCATCATGGTGGGGTACATCCTCGCCGAGGCGTTCCTCGTGTCGGCGGTGACGTCGCTCTGGGCGTTCCTCTCGGTGGCCGCGCTCGGCGCGGTCATACTGTTCGCGGTGCGCCCGGTCGCGCTCAAGGTGATCGAGCGCACGCCGCCGGGCAAACCCGTGGACGAGAATTACGTCTTCTTTTTCCTCCTCATCGTGCTCCTCGTCGGGTTCTACAGCGACGTCATCGGGACCAACTCGTTCCACGGCGCGCTGATGTTGGGGCTGGCAATCCCCGATGGACCGCCGCTCGGCACCGCGCTGGGGGAGAAGATTGACGCCATGGTGTCCGGCCTGATTCTGCCTCTGTACTACGCCATGACCGGGCTCAGCACCGATGTGTGGTCCCTGCATTGGGGCAGGCTGCAGCTAGTCGTGCTCCTCGGATGGTTTGGCAAGCTGGTCGGCGTCATGGTGCCGTCGCTGTTCCTTGAGATCCCCCTCCGGGACACCGTGTCCCTCAGCTTGTTCATGAACTCCAAGGGCATCGTTGAGGTCATCACCTTCACCTTCTTCCTCACCAACAAGGTGATCGCTAATGCAACAGCTCTGCAGATGGAAGCATCAAATGCAACCACTAACCGACTTTGCATTCTTACATTCTTTGATCGGTTCGGTTTGCAGTTGATCGGCAAGAACTCCTTCAGCGTCCTCATATGCTCGTCGGTGGCGATCACGGCGGTGTCGGTGTCGGTGCCGGTGGCGGGATTGCTGTACGGCGCGGCGCGGCGCTACGCCGTCTACAAGCGGCGCACCTTGCAACACCTCAAGCCGGACGCTGACCTGCGCATCCTGGCGTGCCTCCACGACGAGTCCCACGTCCCGGGGACGCTCGCGTTGCTCGAAGCGTCGCACGCCACGCCCCAGACGCCCATCGGCCTCTACCTCCTCCAGCTCGTCGAGATCGCAGGCCGCTCCGCGCCGGTGTTCATCCCGCACAACCCCCGCCGCAACGCGTCTCGGATCGGCGCGCCCAACGCGCCGTCCACCAACTTCGACCGCATCATCAACGCCTTCTTCCGGCACGAGCTCCGGCACCCGGAGGGCGCGGTCTCGGTGCACCCGTTCACCACCATCTCCCCGTATTCCTCCATGCACGACGAGGTGTGCCGCCTCGCTGTTGAGAAGCGAACGTCGCTGATCCTCCTCCACTACCATAAGCACCACTTGCTCGCCGGCGGCGTGCACGCCTCGGTTGGGCTCCGCGTCGTCAACCACAAGTTGCTTGAGGTCGCGCCGTGCTCGGTCGCTGTGTTCGTCAACCGCAACGCCGGGAACGTGGGGCTGCCCAATTTCATTCCCGGGCCGCTACAAGACTACTCAGGCTCTTCCACGGGGAGCAGTGGCCTCTCGATGAGCGGGCCCCAGTTCCACGCTGCCGTGGCGGCGCTCTTCTTCGGCGGCGGCGACGACCTCGAGGCCATGTCCTACGTGGCGCGCATGGCGCGCCGCCCGGGCGTGACAGTTGCGATCGTGCGGATCGGCGGGTGTACAACCGCGCCATCGAGGAGGTGAAGGCTCTCGCGGCGAGGAGCAGGAACATGCAAGTCCGGGAGGAGCTCGTCGGCGACATGGAGAAGATCGTCGAGGTGCTGAGGGGTCTCGACAAGGCCGGCTACGACCTAGTCATCGTTGGCATGAGGCACAGGTGGTACCCGGTGATGCTGGCCAACGGGCTGTCGGACCGGAGCGAGTGCCCCGAGCTTGGCGTCATTGGCGACCTCCTGGCGTCCTCTGACTTGGACACGCCCTACTCGGTGGTCATCATGAAGCAGCAGGACCAGGCTGGCCTGAACGCCGCTGTGCCCGGAGCCCAGGACCAGTGGCACGGTGCACTGCCGCCGCCGCAGCCGCGAACCATGTCGAATTCGGAATCTAGCATGTCCAAGCGATAGGACCGCGGTAAACGACCCTGTATGTCATCTTACCTTTGCGTCATAGAATTGATACATTCACTGATTGACCCCTTTAGCTTCTAGGACCTGGTTCAAATAGATCTTCAGATTGTTCTTTGGAGATGCCGTGTACAGTTCAGGATTAGCAAGATAGTTATCATTCCAGTGAAGATTTTTACTGTTCTGTTAAGTATAGTAGCATGAGCTGCACTGCACAAATCACGAAAAAGCATTCCCTAGAGGAAACCTTGCATCAGCACCTATTATACTTCATAGAACCCAATTCATGGTAAAGAAAAAACCATTAACATAACATTAGTAATGCTGAAAGGATATACAAGGGTGATGTAGACATGGACAATCCAAATGCATCCCAATAGAAGTTTGACAGTCGAGATCGTTGTAGTTTAGAATCAAGGTATGCTAGTATGCTACTGTATCAACTAATCATAAGCAGATTTTTTGTCCTGCGCCTAGTTATGCAATGCAGCAATATAATACTACATACATAAAATAAAAATAAAGATTAACACAAATGACAAAATGACCCTGAATATGTTAAACAAGTGACATTTTGAAATCTCGTTTTATCTACAGTTCATCAGTTGAATGCACCTCAAGTAAAACCAGACAGAGGGCTTGCTTGGTTTGTGACAAAAAATTTGTCATGCCAAAGATTTGTCAAGTAAAAGTTGGACAAAAAAATTGCCATAGATTTGACAAGCCAAGTGTGAAAGGTTGGCAGGCTTTGGTAGCACTAAATAACAGCTAAAATCATGGCTTACCAAATCTTTAGCTTGCATATTTTGGAAGCGAACCAAGCAGACCCAGAGCCTCTTCGGATGGTATACCTTATTGCCGAAATGTTTGAAATGCCAGTGTCCAATAACCTCTGCTGCAGCAAAACCATCATCCCTATTACAACAGAAACTCCTTGGGAGATTTTTGCTTAATTATCTGGCCCCCAAACAGTAGAAAGCGAGTAATACTAACCAGTACAACCTTTGTCAATGCTTCTTTTACTGTATATTCTCACCAAATAGCACAACAAAGACCTCATGTCAACATTCATCATTTTTCTTGACGATGTATCTTACGTTGCTTATCATCAAAATACTGTACAATGGAATATGAATGATAACCAGAACCTGCATGCAGTGAATCATCGGGCTTCATTGAAGCAGTGGCAAGATCCAGATTACGCATGCAACAGTAAATCCACCCCTGATTTGCAGGAGCCATCAGCATAAATAGCAAAGCAACCAGACAGAGAACCACATCACTCATCAGACAATTAGATTCTGATGGCTGCACACAGCCTTCTACAGCACTCTGCTGAGAGCAGAACTACACACTTTTTAGTTTTTAAGTTCTGCATTTTATCTATTTCATGGTAAAATAACTTGCAATCATATTTATGCATGAGCTTTTTAGTACGAGGGACTAATGAGAATGGTGGAACCATGTCTGATAAGAAAGTAGATAAAATTCGCCTTAAAAGCTCCCTGTTTCTGGTGGAGGCATGTTTGATCTTTAAAGCAAACAAAAACCATGAATTGCTTCTAAACATTTCATCCCTAACCATTATATATATCATTGCATTGCATATCTCAACAAGGAAGTATCATGGCCTGGGGACATAAACACTGAAATGTCATAACTGAACTACAGACATCATTAATTGGTTGGTTACTCATAACTTCAGTAGGGTGGTAAAAGTTACAGATTATTGAACATAGAAACTGAAATGACATGTTTTCTCCTGCTGATTCAGAAAGAAAGGAAAGAGCAATGTCAAATAGCAGTCAGTTGTGCAGGATATTCGTGATTTGTAACAGCACCAGATACTTGCCTAAAAATCAACCTATTGTGTTAACATGACTGGACATTTATGCATAATCTATTCACTGTGAAGCTTTAATTTTTATTTCATAATTCATATAAGCTAGCAGTGATGAATTTTCAAAAGGTATAACGGGTAACAACCTTTCTTCAGCCTCACCTGGTGAAACAGCAATTCATCACTTCTTCCATATATATAACAGAAGGAAATGTTGTGGCCTGCGACGCGGTTTCATCTTTCATGGTATGATGTCCATTTTGAGCTGCAGATACTCTAGCCATCATAGAGTTGGATCATCCACAAAAGTTATCACAGGAAAAACTAATTCAAAAACTTGAGCACAAACTTATTGAATTAAATATTGAAATCCACACATAACACTTAATGGGGTTAAATTAAAGTAGTGCTTGAAACAGAAATGGAATCCTAACATTGTTACAAAATAATCATGCTACTCATTGATACAGACACACCTACACACATATACAACATTTGCCAAACTGCATGACTTCCTCATGGAGGATAAAAAACAGCGATGCACAGTTGTAATTTGAGACAACAGCATCACCATATGTGAGTACAAGACATTAACCACGAATGGAGAATCCATGATAGCATTTCACAAGTTCAGAAGGGCAGAACCTGCAGTATAACAGGCTACAAAGCTGCATATCATTTATCACTTTGCTGCTCCTTCAAACAAGTGCTGGATATGGGCTACAACATCCTCGGAGTATATTTGATGAATAAATCACGCCCAGTTTCAGGAGAAGACTTCAACTTGGCAATTAATGAGGCGTAAACTGGCATCACTGTCTCCTCCACTGCTGCCCTAATGTCCACCCTTAGCTGGTCATCTGCTATCACCCATTCTGACTGTGCCGCATAGATCTCCCCAAGTATGTATTAAACATTCGCAGTTTCTGCAGCATTGCCTTGGCTGGGAGTCCACCCATGCCTGGACTACCAGTCTGCAGCACAGATGTAACCTTGCCCCATGTTGTTCGCTGATAATCCATGCTCCAGCGGCGAACTCTAGTTGTCATCTGCTTGATCCACTCATCACCGAGTAAAACACCCAACTCACTGTCATTCACCTTCTGTATGATGTACTTGCCATTATTCATCAAGAAGATAGAAGCAAGAGATGGATCACGGTATATCTTAGACTTTGTCTCCAAATTCTTTTGAAGAACATCCATGATCCACGCGATGTGCACAGCAAGGGATGATGTGGGGCGGTCAGGATCAACAGCCACAGGGGCACCTCCATTAGCACCAAAGTCACCTTCCATCACCTCTTCCAATGTCTGCCGCGACCCACACGCAGCACGGAGATAGTTCATAACATACCGAGTGATAGGATGTATGACGCCACCTTGGGCAGCAACTCGGGCAGGGTCACGGCGGATGAGATTTTCCAACTCCATAAATATACTTTTGATAGAGGACCCCAATGTGTTGCACATCGCAGAGACCTCCGCACGGAGTGCAGCAGAGTATGGGTCAGAGAACACAGGATCAAGGTCAGGGAGAATGTCACGCACAGCCTCGTACATGTCAACGACGCGGAAGAGGCGCTCCGGCGCGCGGCTTGACGAAGAGATAGCGTCACCGAACGATATAAGCTGCAGAGCCTGGGTACGCACGGCGGCGATGAAGGCAAGGTCGCCGAAGGGGGCGAGGCCGTCGAAAACGCGGTCACATAGGCGGCGCTCACTGGGAATCAGGATGCGAAACACCATGTTGAAGGCCGGGATCCAGCGGGCGATGTCGAACTCAAGCTCCTCACAGGGTGAGGCATGAACCTCCTCGGCGGTGCGGGAACGGACGCCGAGGCGCGCAACGCTCTCGTCGACAAAGCTGCGGCGCGCCGCGGCGTAGGCCTCAGCGCACTCGCGGCCGAAGCCGGCGTCCACCATCCTCCTGGCGATCTGGTGCACGTTGGCGATGGACCCCGGCGAGAGAGCATCGATCACGACGTCATAGTCCGTCACCGGCTTGGCAATCGGGATCGGCTCGTCGCCGTAGCCGTCCCCGCCTCCGAAGTCGTCGTCGTCGTCGCTCCCGTCCGACCCGAACCCGCCCGGCACCACGGGGGCGGCGTCGTCGGGGCGCTCTATGAGCGCCCTGAACTCGTCCTCCAGCCGCGCCATGCACCGGCTGAGCAGCTCGTCGGCGCGGTCGAGCAGGGCGCGGTTGGTCCCCGCGGCGTCCAGCTCCTGCACGGTGCCGATGAGATCGTCGACCGCCTCCAGGAACGCGTCCGCGTCGGCGGAGTCCGCCCAAATCAGCCGATCCATGGCCACGAACTGCGAGATCTGGCGGTCCAGCGCGCGCACGGTTCGCTCCATCGACGTGATCGGCGGCCTCGGCCCCGCGGCCGACACCGCCGCCGCCGCCGCGGGCAGCGGGGGCAGCGGCGGCAACGTCGTCATCGAGCGCTCCCCTACGACTCCTCCCCCTCCGCCTCCTCCGCCACCACCGGACGCAGCGGCCGCCGCCGCCGCGGTGCGCGCGGCGTAGAGCTTGTCGAGCGAGAGGCGGCCGTCGTAGTTGGAGAAGACCTTGAGGATGTCCTCCGTCATGGTGTCGCTGCTCCCCAGCGTCTGCACGATGTGCTGCACCGTCGCGAGCAGCTTCTCCTCGCCATCCTCCGCCATGGCTCCTGGGTCGGGGGGGGCAAGGCAGCTACTGTCGCGGCCGGAACGGCATCACCCGGCGCGCTGGCTCCGATCTGGATGAGGGCTCCACGCGGCTTCGGGTGGTGGTTGTGAGGGGGGAGACGAGGCGAGGCGACTTCTCGCTCGGGAACGCGGTGGCGTCTACTCTAGCCGAGAGCGACCGCGCGTGGACCAGCGGCCGCTTGCCTAGGTCAGTGGTCACTGGTCACTGGTCACTGGTCAGGCACGGGCAGCGCCCGAGTAGCAGCGCCGGGTGCGCGGCGTAAACTCGCGGCGGGCGTTGGATGGGCCGGTCACGGACGGTAGGATGCATAGGGCCCTGCTGACGCTGATGGTGAAAACGGCGTGGCCTCGGGGATGCGAAGGCAAAGGCCATGCCGTGTCGTGCGTGACAGCGTCGGCATGGCACAGCCGGACAGGGCTGGGCTGCTTGTCTGACAGGTGGGTTTCAGACGGGAAAGGCGGGAAGGGCT